TTTATAGCTAATTAACAGCAGGTGCACATTCACATTTCTTTAGGAAAAGACAGTATCAGTAGAGAGCAATATTCACCCCACCATGAAGCAGCGCTTTTATAACTCAAATTTAGAGCCACAGTAAAAAAACACGAAAATTCACCCCACCATGAAGCAGCACCTTTATAACCCCACTTTAGAGCCACATTAAAAACGATACATTCAAGCTATGTATGAGACAAATCAAGGGCTGCTTCTTTTCCTTAACAATTTTGTCTTATAAGATTATTTTTGTCAGTTTTTATCTTCAAAGAAAAAGTGGTAATTCAGTACTAAAATTAGTATAACTGACCTGAGATCGCTTAGCCCAAATCCCCACATTACAGTTAAGGCATCCAGTCAACTTTAGCGCCTGATTTAAAAGCGCAATCTAGTAATTAATTATATTGTGAAGAAAAATAAATTATTGGGATTTTTTTATATGCTCAAGTATGCATATGGTTCCAAGGAACTATTGACAAGAAGGAGCTCACGCCAACTTACCTTGCGTCACGTGGGATTCGGAAAAACTTTGTGCCGGGTTTCTTGTGCGTTTTACCGTTGTTTTTGCACCATGCGACACAGCAGTGGCTACTGTAGTAGCAACTGGAGGGAATCTGCGAAAGAAAAAAATGTAAGATATAAACACAAATATTCGTAGCTCTTAGACGATAGCGCAGCCCATGTAACAATAATAGAGAGTTTTAGTAGATCGTTCCGATACCTCCGATAGCCCCGATAACGATACTATGCATGCACAAGGGAGGCGGTGGCAGAGTATCGGGTATCGTTATCGGAGTCATCGGAACGATCTACTAAAACTCTCTAATAACACACACGGGGAAAGCCGGCTGCTGTCTGAGGTTTATTTCGCAGCGTCTGTTGGACCTCTCAGCATGCAAATAACGGGTAAAACAAACAGACACGATACAGTTCGCTTTTTTCTCTGCCCTTGTCTGCGCACGCTGTGTTTTGCTCGCGACTAAGCAATAACAAAGAAATGAGAAAACGTCTTACCTTCTGAAGAAACCTGTTAGGCGCAGACAATATCCACGTTGTGCTCACATTCTGTTCGCTGTGCTCACATGTGCTCAATACAAAATGCGTTGACAGGTGTCAGGCACCATGCGGTCACGCCGTCCACGCACGCACGCGTCCGTCCGTCCGTCCCGCTCCAGCCACTCCAGCCGCGCAGCCGCTTTCTCAGAGCAACTGCAGGAACCGGAACTTGCCCGTACATCACGTGATCCTCTTAACGTAGTAAACAAAAACTATTTTACCCTTTATGATACTTGCAACAATTTTAAATATAATAAAATCAAAACTTGAGTATTTATTTATCACAAACCTCACGAAATATTTTCATTCTTTGGCACACTGGCACCACTTAGCGGTCGGTGAGAAAACTAAATGCTCGGCCGCGAAACGGCTCGAGTGGCCACTCTTTCCCTTGTGTAGATTACTCTATGGTCCGTCTGCGGAAAAAACGGTAGAAAGGAAAGCGCGCCGCGTAGAAAGGAGGAGAGTGCTGAAGGGACAAAGGCTAGAGGAAGGCGACGTCACGCAGCAGAAGATAATGCGCGCGCGGCACGACGAGGCGAGAGGGACGCGAAGTCACGGGGCTTCCGCCCAGTGACGTCAGACTCACCCCAGCAGGCGCTGGGGCGAGTTTGCAGGTGTGCGGAGCCCGTATACCTTGATCTGTGCTACAAAATGAAGTGTGGACCAAGTTTTAACCTTAGTCCAAGTAGGCGACAAAAGAAGACGGTTTGTGAACGACGGGGTCGTACTGCCGAAACCGCTGAACGGCGGAAGCAGCGTCGGGCAGCGGATGCCACTGCTAAGCGTGCCAGGCGGGAGAACGAGACCGAGGAGCGGAAAAAGCGCTTAGCTCGGCTTGCCGATACGTGGCGCAAAAAGAGGCAAGTCGACGCGCTCCTGCGTGCAACAGAAGCCGGAAGAAATTAAATGAAGATCCACGTTTATTCAGCGGCTCGAATAATACACCTTATTTTGTTATCTATGGTTTAACCTTCAGCATTTCTTCGTTTTTTTTTTTTTTACAGACCTTTTCGTATAGTCATCGTCATCTTGAATTGTGGCATTTTCTGTATTGAGGAAAACATGGTTTGTCCTTTCCGCGGTTCACTAATTTATCTCGAATGTCAGTCCTTTATGTTTCGCCTCTTGTGTGCTATATTACTCAATCCAGGTTGTATCATGCCGCTTTTTTTGCTTTCGTCGCTCATACCGGATATGTGAACTATAGGCTCCTTGCACTGACGTCACATCGCACACATCTGAACACCAAGTAAAAGGAGGAGAGGGAAGCTGCTTTTGTAAGAATTTTGAGTGACAGGTTAATCCCCTATAATCTTCTGGGAGGAGAATAGCGACGCCTCTGCTAATCCGGGAGGTACAAAGGAGGGTCCTGATAAGAGGGGAGCTCCTTCTTCCCCTCTTCTCTGGAGGGCAACGGAAATGACGTCCTGTGCAAGCCACGTATAGGCTCCTTGCACTGACGTCACATCGCACACTTTTGAACACCAAGTAAGAGGAGGAGAGGGAAGCTACTTTTGTAAGAATTTTTAGTGACAGGTTAATCTTCTATAATCTTCTGGGGGGAGAATAGCGACGCCTGTACAAATCCGGGAGGTACAAAGGAGGGTCCTGATAAGAGGGGAGCTCCTTCTTCCCCTCTTCTTTGGAGGGCGACGGAAATGACGTCCTGTGCAAGGAGCCTATAGACCTTTTCCACAAGGGCGCCGCCATCTTGAATTGACGTCACTTCCAGTATGGGCGAAAACGTAACTTTGCCGTTGCCACGCCAATGGAAGACATTTAGGATATAAGCCTAACCGTCACACATTCTCGTTTTGGCTCGCCTCTATTTTTTTACTAGTTACAGGTTGAAACGTTTTACTTTTTTTTCGTCGCCCATACTGGAAGTGACGACAATTCAAGATGGCGGCGCCCTTGTGGAAAAGGTCTATACGTGGCTAAGGGCGAGTCCATATTGAAAAACAGCGCGAAGAACAGACGGACTAGCCCAACTTTCCATTCGAGTAAGGGAGCGTGTAAACAGAAAAGGTGTACACTTCAACGAGTCCGATTGCTCTCCGAATCAAACAGGAGTGCAAGCTCCTGAGCCATCGTCATCATGGGCACCAAGGGGGAAATGATCGTGCCCGTACTCTATCGGTTGCATTCTTCTGAAATCGAACTTCATGATACGTTTTTATACCTTTCAAGTGTTGCGATTTGGGCATTCGATGTGGAATATAATTCCGGCTTTTCCCTTTCTCGTGTGTGCCTTTTTAGAAGAAAACGAAATTTAATAAAAATATCACCTAACAATTGAAAGCCTGTATTATCGAATTCGTAGTTTTAAGCCGTTTCGCAATAAGTTCGAGCGCAGTCGACACTGCGATTTGATGGAGTCAATAGGCGCTTTAAGTTCGCTCTCCTTTACTCGTACTCTGACGCTCTGAGTTTCACACTTCGAGCGCAGCAACTCAACAGGGTCTATTCTACAGAAGCACGACAGACCGAAACTATCGTCGAGCCGTATGAGCCACTTCTGACCGCACGGTTATGACGAACCCGGCATCTCGTGAATACTGGAGGCAGAAGCCGAAATTATTTCGAAAGTAAATTAATTAAGGCCCCTGTAACACGGCAGAGTTTAAATTAAACAAAAACAAAAGCTGTGACGTTACGACGTTTCTAGTAATGATTTATTATCCGGGAAAGGTTTGAAGACTCGCTTCAAGCACATATGCGGTAAGTTACCTTGACCGATCCATTTATTGACCATGCATCCTGTTCATGTGTAAATAAAATACAACATTCTTGAACTCACTGTCGACTCAGGAAACTGTCAAAATTGTCAGATGTCCCGCGGTTTCGTCTTGTAGCGCGAGACGGAACCCTTTGGTGTGCATATAGCGGCAGAGCGCCGTTCAGTAGATAGCACGTCAATTCGTTTTCAGGCGAATCGCATGAACAGACGTTTTCCTTCACGCTAACTGATGTTTCGGCTTTCCAATCGAAGTATCTTTATTCGCTGGGCTAAGCATTCTAAAAAGGGCAGAGGTCCGACTGTGTTCATATCAACGTTTCTGTCGCTATGCTATCGACACGCTACCTTGGGATATAATAATTTATTTTTAGGGGAGATGTACGAACAAATACCTTTTCCAGAACGCGAATTGCTACCTTGGGTCTCAAATAAAGTGGTTTTTACCTGCCGGATTAAGCATCATTCAACAGAAAATGGGCTGCGGTCCGACAGCGCCCTTCGTCTCAACAGCGTGTCTGCCGGCTCAGCGATCTTTCTCGTAGACGTGACATAGCGGGAGCGCGAAGAAGTCCCTAGGGTCCCCAAACTCGTCCAGCACAAAGTTAGAGCCGAAAGTTCGCGGAGCGCACGGATTGGACGCCGGCGACAAAAGCGCAAAGTCATCGTCGTGATAGTTCAACATGAGTGCTCCATGAACTTTGGCCCCAACTTTGTATTCGACGAGTTTAGAGCACTAGCGCTCCGAGAAAAAGTCGGTACACGAAGAGCGCCTTCAAGTGTCAGTTTCCGGAGCGCAAAACTCTCGTGCTTCGAAGCACGGACTTAACGCGCCGAATCCAACAGTGCCGTAAGCGCATCGTCACGGCGCCCCTCGTCTTTATGCCAATTATGCAGAGTAAATGCGCCGTACTCCTGCGCTTCTTCTAGGAATGGCAGGCTTAGCTTATTTTAGCTAGCGCTCATGTCGACACGCGCTGTGACGTTGCGCATTTCGCGCTTCTTGATTTATTCCATCGGATCGAAGTGTCAGCTGCACTCGTACTTAGTGCGAAACGGCGGGAGTATACAAACAAAGCCGCGTAGTTTATGAATAAATCATTAGTTTATAACTGATGTAAAGGCATGACACCTCACTTTTTCTTCTCAGAAATGTTTCTAATAACTATGATAAAAACCGTACCTTTGTAAGGATTCTGGCCACCCCGCCGAAGCATGAATTATTCCCTGCCTTTTCTTCGGTGCAGTTTCCGCCTCTCTTGTCGCTTTGAAGAAAATGAGAATGGATATCATTAGTGTGCAGAATTGTAATATTGAAACTCTCAGGAGGCTTTTTCGACGGTGCTGCATATGGTAGAGAAAGAAAAGCAGCGATGAATAAAAGCTTCATGGCTCTAGTTGCCTAGCTGCAGACTGGAGAAAACATCCTTAAATAAATTTTATTTCCGCAAATCACTTTTTTTTTTAACTGTCTCCGGCCTCCAAACGCATGGCCAAAAATGTGCAATACATACGTCATTCAAAGGACCTGAAGGGGCGGATATAGAAGAGAGAAGCAGAGACCAAACAAACTCCTTCCGTCTGGAGTCCTGCCGTTTGAACTTTGGTTTCGCCGGAAATTAAACACGAGAAAATGTCAAGGTTCGCGTGTACAGTTACGAACCTGAAAAGTCAATAGAAATGATTGCTTTGAAAGCATTTTCTATAGAACGTGTTCACAGTACGTCGAAGTTTTGGTGATTGTTCGCGCCACACACTCAGAACAGGCTCCTATTTAACACTGTCAAGAACAAATATTGCTGCTAGGGAGAATTACAAAAAAGGTCCATTGGTTGATTCCAGGGTTTGGCGGAGATACTCTAGAATGTATTTGGAAATACAAATACTATAGGATACATGACGCAGACAGATAAGATACTGATACTAAAACACATCAGTGCAAATGTACCGCTATACGTATCACAAATACATTTGAAGATAGAAAAGTATTTCAAATACAGGACTACATTTTGCCGGGACAGTAATAATCTTATACATTTAAAAAAATAGCTTTGTGCGATGGGAATACTTGTAATACCAGCAAAAAGTTATTAATTCTAGAACAAATGAAAGATTTTTTGCTACATATTTTATTGTTTTCACATAAAAGCAATAGAAAAGTAAACATACGACTTTGCTGCTAAACGACTACATTTGATGAAAAGTAGCTTTTTGAATAGCTCGTCGTTCCGCCACTGCCAATTTGGGCTACTTGTGGTGTTAGCAAAAGCGATTAAGCGTTCCAAGAGTGTTAACGAACACGGGTATGAAGACCTCGCTCGGACATAATAATAGGTAGGCTCCGTTGACTGGGTTTTGTACTCCTAAGGCAAAACAATAGTGCTCAAATGAAAACAAAAACTCAGACAAAACGTGAGGTAAAGATTGAAGTTGAACTTCAACATTCTCGACTCCGAAATTATTTTCGCGTAGAGTTGCCATTTTGCTTTTAACAGAAAGCTGTGGGAACGAGACGAGTCTTCAGTATGTTGGTAATAGTTTTCATCCACAATGAGGTGCAGCCCTTCTTTAGATATATTACAGGCCTTTGAAGCAATACGTGTAACACGAAGGTCTAAATTCGTTTCATATCTAAGCAAATATCCCTGAAAGGTCAGCATCCTTTTTATCCTATTTTGGTATCTTTTCTGCAGTCATTTCAAGACGTCGCCTTGAAATAAAATGATATTAGTTTATCTGAAGATCTGAAGGAATAAACTTTACACTCGCCCTAGTAATTGGGGCTGAGAGTGCAATCTACAGCTATAAAACTCGTACCCACAGTGCCTTCAGAGTTTTGATTCTACAAAAATAGTTGCGCAACTCAAGTATTGCGAAGACATATGATATGTTTGGAAAATAGGGAAGGGGATCGTCACCATGGTGTTCGAAAGAAACCTTGGTGTACTTGATAACAAAGTCTCAAGGCCCCATTTACTCTACCTTCTACCTCTCTGAAGCACAAAAGAAGAAAGGAAACAGTATTTTGAGCTTTCGCTTGTGGGGCCACTGATTTCTCGAACATTAAAACGAGATACATTGGCCCAGGATTGTATCGCGATACAAGCAATAGACCGAACATGCATTTCGATACTGAAATACAGATACTGATTGAAAGCTTGTATCTCGATACAGAAATGCAAATACTAAAAGTATGTCTGAAATACTATCGCGATATATTTATATCGCGATACTGCCCAACCCTGGTGTATTCTTAGGGAATACGTGAGCATGACCTAACGCTGACCCCTTCACTTATTTTCTTTTTGCTCTTCTCTTGCTTCCTCTATTTTTTTTTTTTTTTTGCTGCCTTTTTTTTTTTACCTTGTCACGGGGTCAGTGTTGACGTTTCCTAAGTGTGTGGCGTCTCCCAGGGGTTCTGCTAACGGATTCCCCAAACATCTATCAATAGATCGTCCCGTAATTGTTTTTCGCCCTTTTTTGTACTCTGCCTGTCAAGTACGTCAACGCCTTTGCCTACCACGTCAAGCCATATGCCTACGACTCGTGGAAGGAACCGCATCCATCGTTTTAACTACACACACACATCACAGCAGCCGATGCACCGCTACTACGGAAACCCAGAGCGAACAACAACCGTCGACAGCAGCAATCTTCCATCTCCCCCCCCCCTCCCCAAAAAAAAAAAAAAAATCTTCCATTTTGCTGGGGCCTCCTCTCCCCCCTCGTCCCCATAAAGCATTTTGCCATGGGCGTCCCCCCCCCCCCCCCCCCCCCCCCCCCCCCCCGAAACAAAATGCTGGCCACGTGCCCGACTTAATGTACGCACAGAATCCTTGTTTGCGTTGTTTTAGGGTTGAAAAAGGGATTCTCATAAGTTCCGTAATATCCGGTGTACTTTGGAAATGTATGCACTGCCAATTAAGTTACTAAACAAATATAAGTTATTGTAATTATAGTTACGTTCACATTTAAAATGTAAGCAATTACAGCAATAAGGTACATATATCGCAAAACTAGTTAAAAGTTATCAATTATATTTCCCGTGTCATTTTTCACCATTTTATCGCGATTAAGAAGTATATTACCTAATCTAACAATCCATACGCCTACGATGCATCGTAAAAAAAAATAGAGAAGGCTTTTTAATTGAGTAGCTAATTCTTTATTTATTCAAACTTTGTTATCTTCTCAAACAGTCACAATGGGCAATACGCAAAATAACAGCGCCCCTAGCGATTCAGGTGCACTCTGGGAGCATGATCCTGTCTGTAGGTAGCTTTAATTTAGGTTTTGCCGGGGTGTGCGTTCGTCGCCTGCTATCGTCTCCGCACCACCAATGCTCGCATCGTCGTGGATTGCTCCACACTTATGCGCGATGCAGTAAATGCCCTTTTCTTCTCGTCGCTACATATCAGGCACAGCGAATAACGAAACAATTACGATTTTTGCTAGCACGGGGAGCGAGTAAAAGTGCCGCCAAGGCGAAGTCAAGTGAACGCAGATGGTCGTACGCCTAACGCCGTGCCATTTGTTTTTTTCTTTTTACAACCTCGAGAACAGCCACTGAGACTAGAACTCCAGTTTTATAACAGCCTTGCTTCGGCGATCGCTATTTTTTATCAGACTACCGCGGTTCATGACGAACCTTGCTCTATGAGAATCCGCTCAAGCGCAAATACGCACCTCCTGCTACGCCGCTGTGAGGAAATTGATCACGGGAATGATCAAAACACAGTCGCGGTGTTGGTGTGCCTATATCGTTGAATATTCTGGTTCCTTAGGCATACGTATTTCAGCCCCAACGCCCCGTGCTTCATGAAGTTCACGATTATTGGATAGTTTATCGACAGCTGTTTTACATTCTAATTCCTCACACTTGTTAGGACCGCACTCGTACTTCTGCAACAGTGTTATAAAATTCGAGTACTGGTCTCAGTAGCAGTTCTCGAGGTTGCAGACGAAGACACGCAGTGAGCTGGCACAGCATTCGGCGTTCCCCGATCTGCGTTCACTTGAGTTCGTCTTTGCTGCGTTTTCGCTCGCTCCCCGGGCCAGAAAAAGGCTTTCAAAAGAAGTTTTTTTTTTTTTTTTTTTTTTTTTTACCTTTTCTCTCCGGTCAGGGCGTCCCAACCCACTGTCAGCCACATAGAGGCGTCCACCTTACATAGGCATCAGCCCCCTGGTGGTGGACCCTACCGGCACGAGGGTTGTTGCGCGGACGTGTACCGGGAAGGCCCTTCGGCGGGGTTCGAGTCGGTGGGAACCCATCGGGTTCAGTCTTTTATTTACGAACCAAAGTGTCGCCGCAAGGGCAAGGCTGGTAGGAAATGTTCTCCCGTGTCCATTGTTGAGTGCACAAAGTAGTGCTCTGTTATCGCACAGGTTGCTGGAGTCCGGCGGGGCAAGGATCGCAGAGATAATGAAGGCCAGGAGCTCTCTTAGGTAGATCCCAGTCCGATGGCTTGATATGATGGCTACGTTTCCAGCCGGCAAGCATACTCCGATGCCGGAATTACTAACGTCGTTTGCTAGCTTGTAGAGAGGTTCTGGGATGGTCTAGAGCACACTGTGGGGAAGGTTTTTACACACTTTCTGGAGGGTCTGGTTCCACTTTGTTGGGACTGGTTTTCCTGTTTGTGCCGCTCTAAACATGGGCGTGAGTGTATGGCAATGGCTTTGATTTAGGCTGAAGTAAAAGGCCCAGTGGCCTGCCACTTGTTGATACTAGTTGAGGGGTTGCTTTGTTTAGATGATTCGGTGGGTCGAGGTGGAGATCATCCACCCTCTGTGCGGTATGCCCGATGGTGTCGTGTGTTCCGTCGAGATGGAAGCCGAGGAACTTGATGTGCTGAGATGGTTGGAGGACACTATATCACGGAAATTGATGCGAAGACCGCACTTCAGAACTTCGTGAATGATTTGTGCCGTCTTGTCGGCGCGAAATTAAGGGTCCTGATGCCCAAAAAGAAAATTGTTTAGATATGGCTCATTCCACGTGAAACGTCCCATACGTTGCGCTCGACCACCTCCGATTTCTAAAAAAAAATTCATGGGCTTCGGCCACAATGTCCATAGCCATACTTTAAGATAGTTTTGACGATAAAAAATTTGTGATGACGTGAGCGCGATTTTAATTTTTCAAAACAGCGTGAAACTAGGCATCATTCAATAATTTACGAACAATCTGCTTTTTTATAAAACACCCAACAATATTTTTTTTCATAAATTTGCACGGTTGTCGGCTTATAATGTGGTTGAGTTTGTGCAGTTTTGTTTAATTTAAATTTTTTTTTTAAATACATAATTTTATTCAAAAATAATCATTTTTGTCATTTTAATTAAATATATATAATTGCTCCCGGGACCTAATATAACTTTTTACTGGTT